TCTAACCAGTTGAGCATTATCTGCCCCATGCTCTTACCAGTTGAGCTATCCAGGCTCTCTAGAATTGTGTGGGACCCCATGGGTCATTTAGTCCAACCCCTTGCAATGCAGGAATATGCAATTGTTCCATACAGGGATCGAACCTGCAACCTTGGCATTATTGTCACCACGATCTAAGCAACTGAGGGTTCCGAAATATATGTAAATTATTTATTATTCATTTTATTTTTATTATTATTAATTTTATTTGTCAATTTATACATTTATCTTTAGATTTATTTAATTAATTAATCAATTTAATCTTGGTATGTGATGCCATTCCACTTATTCTCTTTAATTTTTTTTATTATATATTATTATTATTATTAATATTCTTTATTTTATTTTTTATTATTTTTTATTTATCCATTTATATTATTATTATTCTATTATTATTCATCTATTATTTATTTATTTATTTATTTATTATTAGTGTTATTATTAAAATCTAAACCAGTATTATTTGTTCACTCAATTACCACTGTAAGTAGAATTAATTGCTGATACTATCTATTGTCTACTGTAACTGACGATGATATGGAATAATTATTCCTCACTTGACTGTTCCATTTGTATATGTCTATCAATTTATTTATTTGCCACCAAACTAATGGGTCAGGTGGATAGACACAGCTAAATATTTAAACTACACTGTGCAAATTCCATGCAATAGTATGCTCAGAACGTATTTCCTTATTAATTTATGTATCTGTTAGTCAATATACAATTCAGGCAGATGCACACAATCAATTATATAGAGCTGCTTCCTGAGGTAAAATTCCTAGTGATCTAGAGGGATGGTACAATAGAACAATCAGAGAACATCAGACACAGGAACTGCTATCCAATGAAAATGTAGGAAAATACACTAAGGAAATAGTCCTTCTACCAGCATTTCAGCAGAACAGTGAGCCTTTTAAATAAATAAATAAATAAATAAATACTCATTCAATCCTCTGCAAAGCAGGAATATGCACGGGGTCCCATACAGAATAAGCTATACGTCGCTTAAATGCACCACTTGTATTTATTTATATTTATTAAATCACAACCCAGCAAGAGTTCAAGCAGCAGCGCTCAGCTAGTTGTTAGCACCTGGCTCCAAGGAACAGACCCATACACAAAGGAACCCCAACTACAGTCAGACAGAATTGGAAGATAATTGCCTACAATAAATGTTGCCCCTTTTAAATGATAGGCAAATCTAGGTGCAAAGCAACACCAAGTAATCAAACAGAATTGAAAATAACTGCTTACTAGGAAATGCCCAGAAGCTGCAGCCAAATTAAGAGAAAAGGAAATCAACAAGATTCCAGGCCCACACCAGTGGCCCTCTGAAAAGGAGGGGTGAGGTTGCTCTTAAGGGGAATATCTCACTACTGGGAAAACTTCTACCAACAAAGGAAACTTTGCCAAACAAAGAAAAGTAAATCTTTGCCCACAAGTTCAGCTCCATAAGGGTGCTTAAACAGACAAAAGACTGCAAATGGTCAAACTGCTGGTTAGTTAAACTGACAATGCAACTAGAGCTGCTGAACTGCCCGGTGCTTAAAGACAATGCCTAACAAACTGCCAGTCACTCAGAGAGCAATCAATTCAGTTGAAAAACCTGTCTGGTAACTGAGATGACTCAGGCAAGAAACAAAGGGAACTCTGCAAAGGTGGGGGGTGCTGGGAGGGAGGAGGGGTGGAGGGAGGAGAAGGAAAGCCTGGGGGGAGGAGGGGGTAAAATGAACACTCAGGGCAAGGAAAAGTTTAGAAGAAAAGGAAAATAGCTGTCCTTTACAGTGAGCCAAAATGAAGTGGAAATATAAACCGTGGGTTAGCCTGGACTTTTCAGTAAGGGTCTATAAGCCACAACCTTTTGTTTGTTTGTTTGTTTAAAAGCAGTTTTCTTTAGGGACCCTGTACTGGCAAGTGAAACCAATGACAAAAACCAGGCAGAGGTGCACCTTCAAAGGTTCTAAACGTATAAATGTACAATGCTGAGGAATGGTTCCCTGATCAGAAACCCTGAATTGTCCGCCCCACACACTGCCTTATTTCTTCCCCCAAATGCCAAGCGAAGAGGGGTGTGTGGCTTAGATAAAGTAAGAGGGGTGAGGTTTAAGTGGTACCAATGGAAGGGATGGCAGGGTAAATCAAACCCACACTAAAAGAGTAATAAATCAACAAACAGCAGGCACAAACACACGCTGCCAGCACACACACATACACGACTTAAAATTAGAGAGGAACAGGCAAGGGCAAGGGAGGGGGAAAACATACCAGCATCCTGGCCAACAAATTAAAAGGTAAGGCAAACCCACACAGTCACCCAGACCAGCCAGGCAATCGGACAGGCAAGGGCAATAGAGGGGGGGGGAACAAAAAACAAACAGGCACCCTGGCCAAAATTAAGATAAAATGCACAGCCACCAAGGCAGAGGCCAGGGAAGGAAAGTGAGGAAACAAGGGAGATAGAAAGAAGGCACTCACACTCAGACCTCACTGGTGGTGGAGAGGCCATGTGCTGGGCAAAGGAAAAAGCTGCAGCTTAAGAAGATAATTCACACTTAAACCGCCCAAACAAATCCAGCACCAGGAGTGGGGGAAAATAAAATGTAGGTTTTTACACAGAAAAGAGGACACAGCAAGACAGCAAGGCAAACTTGGGTGCCTAGGTTTTTTAAAAGCAGTAAAGCAATGAGCGCACGCAAGCCTCCTAAATTTAAAAAGGCAAGCCAGGAACCAGACAGCCTCCACACACACAAACACCCCCCGACTCCAAACCTCATGGCTGAGCTCTTGACTTGCTGAGGGACGACGACGAATGAGGAGGAGGCGGAGCTGGCGCCACAGCATTAAGCTGCTACACACGCCCCCCTGAGGCACCTGGTTGGCTGCCTCCAGTGGGCGTGGGCGCCAGCCAGGTAAGGAGGGGAGGGGGCTAAGGCCCCCTACCAGGGGCGGAGCTCGGTCTCCCGCCCACAACCACTCCCCTCTCTTCCAGGGAGGAGAGTCTTTAGTAGCAGTGAATACATTATTACATGTAAAACACATGAGGAATAACTGGCCAGTTTATAGGGATTTAGTAGAATATTGATTGTTAGCATATATGGGAACTAGGTGTGAAGACGCAGTTCATTTATATTTATAGCATGAAAGGCATATGATTTTAGTATGTCGAGCTGGGGCAGAGTCTGTTGCATAATAAGGAAATTTCCGTGGCTACATTTTCCAGCTGATGGGAAGCCAAGGAATGTTTGGAAATTTTGCTCTCCTCTGTGTCCTTATTTGCTTTCTTTAGCACATGAGAGAAAGATAATGCAGCCCCAGTTAAAATACAGATTTATGTATTTACTAAGGTGATTTCTACACCTCTTAATAATTCTCTGGGTGGTGCTCCTGGATCACTCACATTTGTTCATCATTGTGCTGTAGCCATGATTCTTTGTAATATTTTAGGGAAAGCAGGGACATAATGTATGGATCACAAAATCTTACATGCTGAAAAGGCCTTTGATAGTGCTTCATGGGATTCCCTATTGAAAACTTTCAAAGGAATGAGACTAGGAAACAAGATAATTAATGGAATCAAAGCTATATACGCCAATCTGAAAGCAACATTAATTATAGATAATGAAATTACGGAAGAGTTCAACATTTAAAAAGGAACAAGACAAGGATGCCCTCTGTCATCGCTTTTGTTTATTACTATACAAGAAACTTTATTAACAGCCATAAAGAATGAACCAAAAATAACAGGCACAAGCTTAACACCTTTGCAGACAATGTCATCATAACCACTGAAAATCCGGCGGAGAGTATACAGGAAACCATTTTAAAAATGAATGAATTTGGGAAAGTCTCGGGGTTCAAACTAAATAAAGAGAAATCCAAATTATTAGTGGAAAATGTGAACAAAAAAGAGCAGAAAGTACTAGAATGATTAACAGGATTAAAAATAACCAAGTGAATTATTTGGGCGTTTGGATTACAAACAAAAATATAAACTTATACAAATAAATAAAAAAAGATTTGGAGACCTGGGGGAGGCTAAATTTGTCTTGGATGTCGATAATCAAAATGACAATACTTCCAAAGATGTTATTTTTATTTTAAACTATACCAATCATTAATGGGGTTAAATGTTTTAGAGACTGGCAGAAATACCTTGCAAAATTTATCTGGCAGGGGGGAAAGCCACGAATAAAATTCAAACTATTAACGAAGACTATGGATAGAGGAGGCTTTGCAGTCCCGGATTTTAAATTATATTACGAAGCGTCAAGTCTGACTTAGATCCAAGATTGGATATTGTTAAAAAAATACGGAAATATTGGACATAGAGGGCTGGGACAATGTCTATGGTTGGCATAGTTATTTAGGACATGACAAAGTTAGGAACCATAGAGGATTCCTAAATCATATAGTGAGGAAAGCCCTGTACGCTGTATGGGAAAGATATCTACCACTACTGGTACTGAAAACCCCATGGTGGCTCTCATCTATTGAAACAACAGCAATACACACACACAAAACACACGAGGAATAACTGGCCAGTTTATAGGGACTTAGTAGAAGAACAAAACAACTGCCCTAAATTGAAGAAACATGAAGAGTTAAAAAAGTTAGGAATAACCTGGCTAGAATACCACCAGCTATATGCAGTCCTAGAAAAAGACAAAAAATGAAAGGATTCAATAACAAAACCTCAAATTTAGAGAAAGAATGATTACAAAATAATAATAAAAACTTTCAAAAATGTATAGGCTACTCTTAAATTGGAATTTAAAAGACAAAAAAATAAAAGATGTAATGAAAAAGTGGGCACAAGACCTATGTCATCTGATAGAATTAGAAAAATGGGGGAAGCTATGGACGATAAAATTAAAATTCACGGCATGTCACCAAATTAAAGAAAACTTCATGAAAATGCAGTTCATGTGGTATTTAACCCTGGTAAAACTGGCAAAAATCAACAGAAGCCACAATAACAAATGTTGGAGATGTAAATCACAAGTGGCAACCTTCTTTCATGTGTGGTGGTTGTGCCCAGGAATTAAAAAATTCTGGGGCATGATCTATGAAGAAATGGAAAAACTATTAAAATTCACATTTCCCAGAAAACCAGAAGCATTCCTTGCTGTGATTTTAACCAAGGATATCCCAAAAGAAAGAACAAAATTATTTCTATACGTAGTGACGGCAGCTGGGGTACTGGTAGCCAAGTACTGTACTGGAAAAGTGAACAGATCCCTACTAGAGAAGAATGGGAAGTAAAGTTAAGCAAGTACTTGGAACTCGCAAAAATGACCGAATCATTAAGGAATAAACCAATTGATGTAGTTCAAAAGGAGTGGGAATGCTTTAACACTTATCTAATGAGACAAGGTTCAACAAGCAAAATTTGGTTATGCCTAGAATAAATCTGTAAATAGAAAAAATGTTTCCTTATACCAAGATGAGGACAGATGAAGATGAAGGTAATTGACCCCTTCCTCCATGTCCGATTCCTCCAAAAACAAATTCCACAATACTGTACTTCAAAGTTTTAAAATAAGATGTGGAACCATAGGTAGAGAAATACATACCGGTATCCGTGATGAAAATCAGTCCCATGTTTCTGCTGAAGTTGGCTCAAATTATTAAATAGGAACTATAATTCTATGTGCGCTTGTTTTTAATAACCATGTTCATGACTTTCTAAGGTGATATACTTCCATCACACATGGAAAAACCAGCCACTCCAGGTAAAGCTGCAAAAGTAAAAGGGAAAACACCAAAAACAAAAGAAGCAAAAGAAGATGATTCAAAATGGTTCATAAAACTAAATCCTCATGAAATCATTGATCTTTGTAAAATAATAACATGCCAACATGCTTTGGTTGGTGATGCACCTCAAAGACACAAGATGAGGAACCAAATCAAAAGGGGCATTTTATTATTTTGCAACAAATGTTTAAAATGGAGAAGTAGGATAAAAATATAATACATAGGAAGTGATAAAATCCCATACTGCTGCTATACTAATGAAACAAGCAAGGATATTTTCTTAGGAAACAAAACAAAATTAGAAGTGGCATATTACAAAAGCTTGGATGATTTTGCATGTGACATATTCCCTTTTCTATGCCCCTATGAAGTAAGTTTATCTAATTAGGAAATGAAACAGCACTTTAGACCAGCCTTTCTGAACCTGGTGCCTTCCAGATGTTTGGGACTACAACTCCCATTGAAGGGACAGAATACCCAAATCCTGTCTGTGAAATCACCCCAGGCTTCAATAATCACACCAGGCCTCAAAACTGTCCAAAACTCCTTTTGTCTTCTAAAAATCCAAAACAGCTTTTCTCTGCTCTTCTCACAAGATGCTGTGGCAAAAGGCAAAATGTTACTTTTAAAGGCTAATGAATAGGCTCTGTTCATAGCAGGCCTGGGAAATGAATCTTATCTCATCCTAGTTGCAACTTCTTGGGCATGCTTGGACATGCTGAACCACTCTCATTCCCCTTTCCTGGGAAGAGTCCAATAGTCCCAAGACAGCTTTCTGTTCATGCTCAGAGGAACTCATGGGCAGGACTCCTGAGGGAGGAGAAAGGGGGAGGGAACTGGAAATGGGTATATATGCTTGTGCACATGACTGTGAACTCGTGCATGCTTTTTGTGAACTATCACACTTGCTCCTTCTACCAGTTCATGAATAGTAGAAATAAAAACCTTTTTCTCCGAAACTATTCCTTGAGTGTCTGTTGACTCCCACTTCCCTTTCCCAGGTGCAATATTTTTCCCACCCGAGGGCAAAGCCTCATAAGGCTACACCAGTGTTACCTAACCTTTTTTGGGCAAAGGCACACTTGTTTCATGAAAAAAATCTCGAGGCACACCACCATTACAGCCCCGTGACGTCAGCGCGCAGCGTCACGCCGGGAGGGACATGAATTGCTAGCAAATTACATAATCACCTCCTTGAGGGCTGGCTCATCTTCTCCGAAGGCAGAACCCCATTAATTAACAGCACAGACTCACACCATAGCCAAGACGAGGGGGGAAAACCTCAGTCATGCACAGTCATGCACATGTGGGGGCTAAATGGGGACGAAGACCGGGCAGAGAGCAGGGTTCAAATCACCCCACCTGGCCAGGACAATCCCTGGGTGCTCCCTTGGGCCACTCGCCTGACCCACCTCGCAGGGCTGTTGTTGCGAGGATAACACGGGGAGAACCACGCGCGCCCCCGGGAGAGGAGGAGAAAGCGGGCGATGAATGCAATGCACGAAATATATGAGAGGCGACCAGGTTTTGCAGGTGAGGGGCCCCCGCCAGCCTCCGCTTCCAACACCCGGCGCAACGACGCCGAAGTTTCCCCCCGGGCTCGGCTCGGGGAGCAGCGCCGCTCCCCCTGGCTCCCCTTTGCCCTCCCGGCTCTCTCTGCCGCCCACTGGGGACCCCCCTCACCTGCCAAGTCCGGAGCGCCGGTGGAAGTTGCATGCATGCATGCAGGGCGCCGCATTGCCATTGCATTGCACTGCACTCCATGCAACGCCTGCACGCATGCATTGCCTTGCACGCCCGCCAAGGGGTCTCCCCACGGTCCGATGCGTCCCCTCTGGCGCGGATGCAGCATTGCAAAAATTAAAAAACCCCGACGCAGCCCTACCTGGGGGGCAGCCTCCGCCTCCGCCGCTCCGCCTCCGCGAGGATCCCCGGCCTCCATCCTGCGGCCCGATCTCCGCGGGGGTGCAGGCAGGCTGCGCGGGGTCTGCGCAGAAGAGCCCCTGCCCGCCCGGCCGCCGCCGCACTCATTCCATGGCCGGGAGAAGAGCGCTTCAAACAAAACGCCCGGCCCGCCAGGCCACGCTGGGAAACGTAGTTTGCGAACCCCGCGCGGGCGCGGAGCCCAAGGGCGAGGGGACTACGGATCCCGGCAGCCCCCGCGCCGGGGACAGAGGGGGAGAGGCCGGGTGCAGGGATGGAGGGACGGGTGGGCGAGTGAGTGAGTGAGTGGCAGCCGCCAAGCCTTGGCCAAGAGCCAGGAAGGGCCTCCCCGGAGGAGGAGGAGGAGGAAGGAGGCGCAGAGCGGGAGGGAGAGAGGGAACCCCAGGGGTCATCTAGTGATGGCGCCCCAATCGAAAATTTGACTTAAAAAAAAAATCTTTCAATTTTTTAATTTTTCCCGCGGCACACCAGGCAACATCTCGCGGCACACTAGTGTGCCATGGAACAGTGGTTGGGAAACACTGGGCTACACCATCAGCCCATCCAGCATGGTTATGACACACGGGGCAACGGGGCTTATGGGAGTTGTACATGTAATAATGTAGTCACTGCTACTAACAACGTGCTACTAACAATGTGCTACCAACCACGCTGACGAAGAATTCTACGTAACAGTAGTCAATATCCGGAATCACTGTTCAGTGTTGGACATCATATTTGCTGAATACACAAAACTTCACAGCTTGTCTTTCATTGTACAAAGTCTGGTACCTCGCTTCATTTAAAGATTGTCAAAGACTTTGAGACTAAAGATTTCAGGAAGATTTATTTTCTGAACCGTTTTAAGGCTTTGGCTTTTATTTTTCTTCCTCTGGATTTTGGCAAAAAACAAACCCCCTTTTTTTCCTTTTCAGCTTTAGTGAGGCCTGCAGATTTTTCCATATGTGTTGAAAGTACATCATCTTAGAGAGTCCTAAACATGGTTTTTATTTTAAAAAACAAGCACACAGAGAATTATAGTTGCTATTTAATTATCTTAGCCCACTACAAGAGAAATATGGGACTGATTTTTATCACTTGACATTTATTTCTCTACCTACTGTTCCATATCTTTTACAACTTCAAAGCATTGTGGAATTTATTGTTGGAGGAACTGTTGTTGGCATCTATCTGTCTCCAGAGACTATCAAGTGCACCTCTGGGTCTGAAGTCACACCACCTAGTGATCTCCCCTGGGCGAATGCCTGGGCAGTGTGCATAGGGGCCCTGGACTGCCTAGGTGACAAGAATTAAATAGAATTAAATCTGGAGAATCAGCAAGAGCTATTGCTAATCAACATTTTATATTGATTGTTAGCGTATATGGTAACTAGGTGCGCAGATGCGGTTCATTTATATTTATAGCATGAAAGGCATATGATTTTAGTATGTCAAGCTGGGGCAGTCTGTTGCATAATAAGGAAATTTCCGTGGCTACATTTTCCAGCTGATGGGAAGCCAAGGAATGTTTGGAAATTTTGTTCTCCTCTGTGTCCTTACTTGCTTTCTTTAGCACATGAGAGAAAGATAATGCAGCCCCAGTTAAAATATAGATTTATGTATTTACTTAGGTGATTTCTACACCTCTTAATAAGTTTCTGGGTGGTCTCCTGGATCACTCACATTTGTTCATCATTGTGCTGTTGCCATGATTCTTTGCAATATTTTAGGGGAAGCAGGTGGTACATGTAAAATTGTGTGATCCATACATTATTTCTATACATACATGATTCTCATTGAAATTTTGCCAGAACCTGGCGATTTCCCGTTTGACATCTTTTTAATTACTTGGGCAGTTTCTTCTATTTCTATGTCGGCATTTAAATATTTATATTCTTCTTCCAATATTGACAGTAAATTATTCTGTAACAAATACTCTTTTTATTTTGTTTTAATCTTTAAACTCTGTTTTATACAGCTTTTTGTAGTAATTTATAAAACTTTGTTTAATTTTTTTCGGGTCAGTAGTTTCTTCTCCTTGATCTATTATTTTGTTTATGATTCTATCTGTTTTTCTTTTATTAACCAAGACAGCATCCTGCTGGCTTTATTGGCCAATTCAAAATATCTTTTGTCTCATGCATTTTATTTTACTTTCTACTTCCTTATTTTATTAAGTTGGAAATATGTGATTGTAAGATCTTTATTTTTGGCTTACTTTTTCATTTTTTGGGTTTTTGATCATTTCATTTTGTCTCTTATCTGTCTTATTATTTCTTGAATATTATTTTCCTTTCTTTTATTTTTCCATGCCATTTATTTGTTGTATCCTGAAGCCCCTCATATAAGCCTTACCTGTGTCCCAAATTACGTTTCACCCAAAAACCCTTCACTGTGGCATTGAACAGAACTTGCTTGGCAATCACATAATTATAATCATTTCTAGATTCATGAACTCTTGTGAATCTGCAGTTTCTCACCACAGTTTATTCCGAAACTGCTTCATTCAACCTCTGTGAAATCTTCTTAGTGCTAGCTTTAAAGAACTGTGCCTTTTTGCTCTTCTGGATCCTAGCTGGTCTTCAGCAAGCTTTTAAAATATATATATTTATACGTGGGACACCCATCATTAATTTTTTTTATCAGAAGGAGCTAAATACTATCAAAACAGCAGATGCAGCAGCAAGCAAGTTCCTTAAACAATCAGGTCATGTGCATAAGAAGTAAAACTGAAAGTAAAATACAATTTTTTTAATACTTGGGGTGTGTTCACATTCCTGCCTCAGAGTGCTATTACCATATTTTTTGCACCATAACACTCACTTTTTTCCTCCTAGAAAGTAAGGGGAAATGTCTGTGCGTGTTATGGAGGGAATGCCTATGGGTGGCGGGGGGGATCTGCTGCAGTCGTGAGCAGAGGATCCATGGCTCCCCTTCCTTCCCTCCTCTGTGGCTTGCTTTGAAACAGCAAAGCGGGAGAAGAGCCGCTGAGTGGGGAGGAGAGAGGGACAGAGAGCCTGCTTCTTTAAAGGAGCAAAGCGGGAGAGGAGAGGAGCCGCTTACACGAGTGTAAGCGGCTCCTGTCCGGTTGATTCCTTTAAAGCAAGCAGGCTCTCTGTCCCTCTCTCCTCCCCACTCAGCTCGCTAAATAGCAGCAAAGTTTTTCAGCTCGCTAAGCTGGGGGTGAGCGGGGAGGAGGGAGAAAAGCAGAGCCTGCTTGCTTTAAAGGAGCAAAGCGGGAGAGGAGAGGAGCCTTCTCTCCTTATACCCCTCTTCTTCATAATTAGCAGCATCCTTCTCCACCCATCCCACGCGTGCTTCTTCTCCCCTTAAACCCCTCTTCTGCATTATTAGCAGCATCCTTCTCCACACACTCCATGCGTGCTCCTTGTCCCTTGAGTGCTTTTCCTTCCCTCCCCACTTAAAACGTGGTTTCAAAGCACGGATCCACATGGATCCTCAGGATTTTTGCACTGGGTCACCCCAAATTCACCATCAGATCACATAGCATGTCCATGGCTACATCTTGCACCCAAAAAATCACGCACCCACTTTTGCCTGGGGCGCAGTGGTGCAAAAATGTGGTTACAAAGCATGGATCCACATGGATCCTCAGGATTTTTGCATTGGGCTACTCCAAACTCACTGTCAGATCACTTGTCTGTGGCCACAGCATGAACCACAAAAATCATACATCCACTGTTTCGTTTAGAATATTTTTTCCCTTGTTTTCCTCCTCTAAAAACTACGTGCGTGTTATGGTCGGGTGCGTGTTATAGAGCGAAAAATACGGGTAAGTTGTTGTTGTCGTCCGTCCCCCCCCCCCCCGCCAGTGTGTTTCATGCCTCTTTCTGCCTTCGGCTGTTCTCATCAGGACAGCTTCATTACTGTCAGATTTGTTTCTCTTTGAGGGTGCTCATGGCAGGAGAGAGACAAATTAGGAGTGGCTTAAGGACTCAGCAGTATTTTATAATGGAGTACAAAATACATAACATGTCATGGGAACATGAATTAAAAACTCCGCACTGGAAATGCGGCAAGTGTACAGTAAGCAGAAGTGTGAACACAGTCTTTGAAAGATACACCAGCTTGCATAGTAAAATTCTTGGAAGGACCGAAAGAGTAACCCAACTTTCTTCCTGATCCAGCATTTCATTAGGCTGGAGCTCATCCAAATGATGATGAGCTAGCAAATCAAGGGAATCTGGCTAGTAGTGCGATTGTGCCGTGCAAACACAAAAAATGCAAATGCATTACTTGGCGCCTTTATATTTTCAGCTTCTTTTTTCCCTGGAAATGTTCCAGTCGTTAGGGTTGCAAAGACAGGCTTGAAAATGTGTGGATGATCTCTGGTGATGCCTCTAATGCCACAGGACTCCGAAGGATGTGTATAGGTAGCAGAATTTCAATGTCCTGAATAAGTACTTGCTCCTCCTTGTAAGCAGGAAAGCTTATGTGAAGTGAGGAAAAATAAATTAACCAGTTCACACTGATCTGGAGTTGGGGGTGAACAGGGAAGCGGCTAAGTTTGCTGAGGATAACAAATGGTTCCGGTCTGTAACAATATAGTACCGTATTTTTCGCCCTATAGGACGCACCGTCCCATAGGCGCACCTAGTTTTTTTGGGGGGGAAATAAAAGAAAACAATTTTATTTCCCCCCCAGGTGTGGGGGAAGCCCGAGCTTCCCCCGACCCCAGAACAGGCAACTCTCCGCAAGCCGTGGGAGCCCGGCGCCGGGCTCCCGCGCCTTGCAGAGACCTGCGCAAAGCCTGGGCGCGCTGAGCTCAGCGCGCCCAGCCTTTGGCATGCAGGCAACTCTCCGCAAGCTGCGGGAGGCCAGCGCTGGGCTCCCGCGCCTTGCGGAGTGCTGCGCGAAGTCTGGGCTCAGCGCGCCCAGGCTTCAGCATGCAGGCAACTTCTCCGCAAGCTGCGGGAGCCCGGTGCGCGAAGCCTGGAGAGTGAGAGGGGTCGGTGTGCGCACCAATCCCTCTCGCTCTCCAGGCTTCAGTGAAAGCCTGCATTCGCCCCATAGGACGCACACACATTTCCCCTTCAAATTTGGAGGGGGGAAAGTGCATCCTATGGGGCGAAAAATATGGTATATATGCATCTGTTTTTCTAAACACAACCTAGATTAACTGTGGGGAACCAGTGGCCCTCCAGATGTTAGGACTCCCTCTCCAGAACGGCCAGTCATCAAGCACATCTGGAGAGCCGCAGGTCGCCCACCCTTGCGGAAAAAAGACTGCCGAGACGAAGGAAATTCCCAGTTAAACGGGCTACTGGTTAAAAGATCACTTTCATTGCATCTTGGCTAAAAAGGCACTGCGCCCTCTCGTTCTGGATTTTCTCCGGAGTTTCCCTCAGACGTAGCAGCCAGATTGCAGCCAAGAAACTGATGCCTTCGCTGAACGGGGTTTCCCTCAGAATCCCCCCCAACCGACTTCGGAGGCGGTTAACGGGTGGGCGTTTCCCGGCGAACCTCGCCCAGCGGCCATTTTTACCTCTTTCCCCGCTCAATTCCCCCTTTTCGAGATGTTTTAGAAACTTCCCAGCACACTCGTGCTAAGTGGGGCCGGGCTGCCCTACGCCTGACTTCCTCAGATAACGGTCTGAGCTCCTGCTCTCTTCGCCGCTGGGAGGAGGAGAAAGAGAAAAGGCGATGGCGCCCCTCAACTGCCACACGGACTGCGTGGAGAGGCCCCTGTCGCGCGCGCTGCGGGACTTAGGCGGCTTGGTGGGCGCGCACCCGTGGCCCTTCCTGCTCGTGCCCGTGGCGCTCTCGGCCGCTTTGGGCGCCGGCTTCGCGTTCCTGAGCAGCCTGGAGGACAACGACATCGAGGGCCAGTTCACGCCGCTCGGGGGCCCCGCCAAGGGCGAGCGGCGCTTCGTGCAGGCGCACTTCCCCACCGACGACGCGCGGCGCTTCTCGGCCGAGAGGCTGAGCACCGAGGGCTCCTTCGCCTCCCTCCTGGCCGTGGCCCGCGGCGGAGGCTCGCTCCTCACCCGGGAGGCCTTCGCCGAGCTGCTGGCGCTGGACCAGGCGGTGCGGGGGCTCCGCAGCCCCGACGGCGCCGCGCTCTCCTTCGCCCAGCTCTGCGCGCGGAGCAGCCCCGGCCACAACTGCAGCAGCGCCAACCCGCTGCTCAGCTTGGTGCAAGGCGGGTCGCGCATCGAGGCGCTGCTGCCCGACCTCACTTTCCCGCTCTACTTCCCTCCGCTCACTGCCAACCCCCTTTTCCTGCCCCCCTTTCTGGGAGGCCTCGACTTGGGCCCCGGGGATGGGCCGGCGCGCCCCGTCCGGGCGGCCAAAGCGCTGCGCCTCTTCTACTACTTGCAGGAGGATGAGGCTTCTCGCAGAAACGACAGCGCGCTCTGGCTCCGGACGTTTCTGGAGCGCATCCCGGGCGTGCTGAAATCCTTGAACCTCGCAACCATCCAGGTAAGCGTCTCCTGGCACGATGGAACCACGATATGACTCTCTGTGTCTGCCTGATGCATGCTGCCATGCTTACTGGAGCGAACAGGATCTGAAGTCAAACCACTAGGGTCAGAGGTTCCCCATGCCTAACGCACCTGCATCAGCAAGTGGAGGCATTCAGTGGCGGCCAAACATTTAATTTTAGTAAGTAATTAGAAAACAAGCTATTGCAGCATCTCTGGCAACGCAAGAATGCCAAGGAGTGCCTCTTTCAAAATAATGCACATTATAACTATGCCTTGTGTCAATCTCTAGGTTAAAAAAATGCATTTTATGCTTTTATGCTGTTTCCTGAATTACTTCTTTTGCACAGCTTGGACATGCTTGGATGTAAATCAGGGGCAGAAAACCTTGAGCCCATGGGCCAAATTTGGCCTGCCATGCTTCACCATTTGGCCCATAAGGCCATTTTGCCCAAACCATACCCACCTGCCCTACATCTGATGTCACATGTGATGTCAGGCACAGGGCAGGCAGAGATAGGGCTAGATCAGCTGCACATACAACCAATCCCAGCAGAAGGGACCACCCATCAGCTGATGCATTGGGACTTCAGTTCTGCTTGGGCACCATCTTCCCCCGTTCCCGTGGGCCAACTTTGACAGGACCACCTTATCTGTCAATTGCCTCTACGCACATGTCAAAGTTGGACTGTCGGATGGGGAGAGATATGGTCAAAAAGGTTCCCCACCCTTGATATAAAATGATTAATAAATTATGTAGATAAATAAATGAATACTTAAATGATCCAGAGCCTAGGCCCAGCACATAATTTTTCATATAATTTGCATATGTAATTGATGTGCATACAGTGGTGCCTCGCAAGACGAAATTAATCTGTTCCGCGAGTCTCTTCGTCTTGCGGTTTTTTCGTCTTGCGAAGCACGGCTATTAGCGGCTTATCGGCTATTAACGGCTTAGCGGCTTTAAGAAAAAGGAAACAAACTCGCAAGAACTCACAAGACGTTTCATCTTGCGAAGCAAGCCCATAGGGAAATTCGTCTTGCGGAACGACTCAAAAAACGGAAAACTCTTTCGTCTAGCGAGTTTTTCGTCTTGCGAGGCATTCGTCTTGCAGGGCACCACTATAGATGCCTCTAGAAAATTAATATGGTGGTTGACTGGGATTTGGAGAATACAGTAATATTCTTTGCAGGACTTCCAACTGCACTATAAATAAAGTTTTCAAAATATTTTTAAATAGGGGGAGCAAGGGGATTGAGATTTGGGCCCCACTGCAAAAAGCTTGGTGCCCTGAATTAACCTTTAGCAACACCTCCGCCAGATTATGTCAGTGTGATGGGCTGATTTGTTCGAAATGCATATCATTCGACCCACAGCTCCTCACCCATAGGAACCCCTCCCCCTTCTTTGCGAAAATGAAAACAAAAAAGGACCTGCTCCCTTAGCATTTGTAGAACAGAAAGCAGAACCTCACTGGCTGCTAAAAATGAGGGTTGGCTAACAAGCCCAAGCAAAATTTGTACTGTATCTGTTTTCTCAGCTAGGGTGGTTATTAGTGCAACTAGTTCTGCTTATCTGTGCTACCCAGGCCTGAATAGTTCCACCCTTTCTCTCTCTCTCTCCCTCCCCCCTCCCCCCACCACTATGTGGTTTGAGTACTGGAGCCAGTAACACTGTTCAGTGTAAGGCTATTAATATGCCTCTTTGCATCCAGAAGAAAAGTATAGGAACTGCTCCAGACAGTAAGTTTTATTCCATTTGGTTAGTCTGTTGCAGCTTTTCATTCATTAGCATGTATTTCCCCTCTCACCCTATTAAACAGAACTCACTCTGGTACTTAGAGGCATAAGGGACATGGGTGGCATTGTGGTCTAAACCACAGAGCCTAGGGCTTTCCGAGCAGTTTGAATCCCCGCGACAGGGTGAGCTCCCGTTGTTTGGTCCCTGCTCCTGCCCACCTAGCAGTTCGAAAGCACGTCAAAGTGCAAGTAGATAAATAGGTACCACTCCGGCGGAAAGGTAAACGGCGTTTCCGTGCGCTACTCTGGTTCACCAGAAGCGGCTTAGTCATGCTGGCCGTACGCCACATCCCTGAGCCAGTAAAGCAAGATGAGGGCCACAACCCCAGAGTCATCCACGACTGGACCTAATGGTCAGGGGTCCTTTACATTACTTAGAGGCATGCTGCTTCTGAAGCTGGAGACATGGAATAGCATCATGGCTGGTTGCCATCGGTATTATTATCCTCCGTGGATTTGTCTAATCCCATTTTAAAAGTTATGTAAACTCGTGGCTGTCTCTAGAAGTTGGAAGCCACACAGTGGTGCTAACCTGCGGCCTCTGCCAGTCATAGGCTGTGCACACATTGGTGACTTGAGGCATTAGAGACTTTGTTCAGCCAACCCAACCAAGCAGCTTAATGAAGACTGAGAATTGCTGGGCGGCCTCAGAATGTTGAGTGTCCAATGGGATGCGGAGTGAAATGAATTATTCTCAAAGAGGGCAGGGCTGCCTAACTTGAACCCTTGGTGTATGAAGTCGTGCACTGTTTAGGAAGGGCTATCTGAAAGACCACCTCACCCCTTATATGGCAAATCAAGTCACTGAGGGCCTCCAGCAGATACCACCTGATCAGGAGGTCTGTTCCGCACAATGTAGGACTTGGGCCTTTAGTGCTGTGACACCTGTCCTTTGGAATTACTCCCCACTGCTTGAATATTACACAGACGCTGTATCGACTGTCTTTTAAGTGCCTCCTGAAGAACCTTGCTCTTAGCAAGTAGAGATCTTTCCCAGTCTACATCAGTATTGGAATTGTTTTAAGGATGTTTTTATTGTTTGCTATCCTGGGCCCCTAAGCAGGAACACTCCATGCTGCAAAATGTATTTCAGGTCCCACTTATATTCTGCTAATTGCACCCTGTCTTTATACTCTTGTGAGCATTTAGATTTATATATCAAGGACTTCCGGGTTGGCGCCATCGGCAATGGCTGAATTCCTCTGACCGGGAGGAATTTGCCCCGTGGAAAATTGGGTCTGGCCGCTACGGCGAAGGCAGAGACCCGCAAAAAATCACAGGCAGGAGAAACCTGTGAACGTGGGATTCGGCGGGCACCTTTTGCGCCTCCCCTACTCGCAGGGAAACCCGATTTCGGGGTTCCGGAGCGACGTGCGGTGAGTGGTGCGGTGCTTCGAGTCGTCTGCTTCTTCCACGGAGCGAAGCCGCATAGCTGTTGCCGGAGAGCGCTGACTTTTTCCTGTGGACAATTTGAATCTAAAGCAATTACCCGTGAGTAGAGCTGGAACGGGAGAATTAGATTTCTAAACGTATAATTTGGTATCGAAGCGGGGAGGTTCAATACAGGAAGTCCGCCTCCCCTTTTTGTAAATAGACTGAAGCAAAAAGGCTGTAAGCTGAAGCCTTGGAAAGCCCTTTGCAAAAGACTAAAATTTCAACGGTAAAGAACATTTAATCCCCCCTCGGGGGCAGGAGAAGAGGGGGGAAGTTGTGGACTGAGTAGACCTGCAGGAGAGAGTGAAGAGAGTCAGAATACTGCCGCTCTGACCCTGGAAACGGGCTGCTAGCTGGATTGACGTCTTTTGGAATGTCCATTGACAGCTTATAGAACGTTCACTGACAGCTAGCTAAGTAAGACAAATACATTGTTTCTACATTGTTTCTACAGTCTCTGGTTGTTTCTAAAAAGGAATAAATAGTAACAGAAAATGGAAACTAACTTTGGATGTTTGAACTGTGTTTAAAAGAGGACATTATTGATCAATACAAGTAACATAAATTGAAACTGTTTCCCCCTAGTGGAAGTTTTTGAAACTGGTTGTTTTACAAGAGTTCTACAAGTGTGGAGCTAGGGGAATTTCCAGCTGTAAGATAAGAAACTGTGAGACTCTGGGACTGACCTTGAATCGTTTAAGTGTTATGGCAAATGGAAAGGAAAAAATAGATTTGCCAACTGCTGAAAAAACATTAAGGTCTGGGAAGATTAGGCAGCAACCTAGGAGAAGTTCAATACCAGATCCCCTCCCTCCGGCTGCTGCTGTGTCTATATCAGCACAACCAAAATCAAAAGGAATGCTATCAGAAGAGGTACTAGCGGTTGCGTTAAGTAAGATAAATGACTCATTGGAA